ATATATGTCGGCAACACGTGTTGACAAATGTTGAAAACTTTGGTGGAGACGCGCCATAAGGGTGACAAAACAGGAATGAAGTTTTTTATGTTAGTACTAAGAAGACATTGAGATTGAGATATTAAAATATTTTTATCCATTTAAAGGCAAAAAAAAAAATATTTAAAAAAAATAGACAAATTCAACGAATTAAAAAGATTACAATGATTTCACAGTTTTAGTCCCGACTTTAGAGTGTGAAAATATTTTAATCGTTTTAGTTATTTAAAGACTTTTGTTTGTTTTGAATTAATATTTGGAATAGTTGTATATTTCATAAGTCATCCTTTCTTCAACCTATTTTTAATCCATTGCTGGTAATGAGCCGTTTTGAGTGCACCATTTGACACGCGTGGCTTATAAGATTTCGATGCTGACTTAACGGATTAACAAGCGCAAAGCCGATATAGTATATTCAAATTAAAAGTTAATTTAATAGCATGCATAAAAGGGATATAAGTAACAATTTATTTTCCTGCTACATTCGGTATTAAAATCAATGCTAAACATCAAAACGAATAAAAGGAAAATTCATATTCCTGGAAAAATTCTCTTATCGTAGCTGTGGGCAATATTGGCGCGGATTGAAATATTTGTCTAATCCATACCGTTCGTCTTTTTTTGTCGTTTTGTCGAAACGTGTTTCCAGTGATTCCAGTCATACATCATACGATTTTCAAACGTAGCAATTATTTATGACAAAAAAGCTTTAAAGTTGGTTAAAATGCCTTTTGTAAATTTAACAAGCACTCTAAATTGGAAAAATTAAGATAAAATAACCAAGAAGATATGTAAATTATTATCAAAGTGTATGAATCAATTATAAGCAAAGTTAAAGTCATACATTTGAGTCATTCCAAATCAGACCGATAACGCTTAATACATTCTGATGCGCTGATGCTTACTAGATTAAAACGATGTAGATTTAACTGTCGGTTAAAATTTGGACGCGTTCTGAGACTTGAGGACTGCTATACGAGTATATGAGATTTAAAATTCTCATGTGATTGTTAAAGATTGCAAAGGATAAGAGAGTTTTTAAATACTACTAAACCTATGTCAGTAATATGAACTTATTATACGTGTAAATTAAATAAAACACACACCTCTAATCTCATAAAAATAGTAAGCATTCTTGTATTATTAATTTTCTATAACAATAAAATATTCTAGATGCTGTTGAGCTAACATTTAATTTAAATTTCATACCTACATCTTTTACTATAATTTTATTTTGAAGTCTTTCAGATTTGTTCAATCAAATAAAATAGTTTCATCTAAAAAAAGACTAAAAATTTAATTAATTCTGGAAAAGCTGCAAATGGATTATATTTCATAACAAAATTTAAAAACATAATAGGAACTAGTAACCCAAATTTTATTCCCACCGACACCAATGAAATCGTTAATTGCTGTTATAAGTGCGGACTTTCTTACATATTTCTTTGAAATTACTACACTTATTTATAACAATTCAAACTGGTTGTAAGTGGTGATGGAGCTTTAGATGATAAATTGCACTGTTTTAATGTAATAAAAGCCTATTCACTCTTGCCAGGAAGATGCCCAGATTGTAATCGGATGGATCGGATTCCTTCACAAGCTCATTTTTGAATGTATATATAGTCCTTAAGTAATGCCACATAATAAAGTCCACAAAAATCTTATCTAGCTAAGTAATACTAATGAATCCTACTAAACATCTGCCGTTTTATTATCTTACAAAAATAGTTTTAATAAGTAGTGGCAGTTTGAGAATATCCACTATCCTGTATCGCCCTATGGGTATTGTAAGAGGCGACAGAGGTAAACAAACAAGTTGCAGTTGCAGTGGCAGTGCAACTGCAGTGCAGTTGCAAATATACCAATAAGTCAATTGATGAGAGACGTCTGTGTTCGGCATCATTTTGAAAGATATAACGGCAAATATCTTTAATTATTATAACTTTGAGCTTTCTTTTCTAGCTAAGACCGGAGTGTACATATTTTAATTTTAAACCTAACAAAGAAAAATCATGTATGGATACAAAAAGACGACCTGATGGACCTATATATTGCGAAGTTTTATAAATATTCTTCGTCAGACCTGTCCTTTCAGCGACTTTGTTACCGATAACCTAAACCGAACTAAAAAGAAACCAAGCCTAAATAAATCATACTATCAAAGTTTCCGAATGAAACTATAATATTAGTACATAGTAGCAGTAGTACAAAACGTAGAGACAAAAAGTAAGTATGATACCATGCTTGGCGGAAGATTTTTACAAAACTGCGGATCCTAACCTGCCTGCTCAACGTGCCTACTATAAGATAATCAATGGGGAAGACCTAATTTCAGCAGTGGACTTGTTATGAGTTATATTTATTCATATCGTCATGCAAAAGTAATGCCATCTGGCAGAATTAATATTTATATATATATAAAATTATACTTATATTCATACAATATATACATATACAGGGTGTTTTTGGAACGCTCCCGAAAACTAAGACAGGCGACAACACCAAGTATACCTTTGATCATGGGTCACAAATAAATTCGATCCTGATGAAAAAAAAATCATCTTTTTACAAGGTTTTATTAGCTTTATTCACGCGCCATCATGTTAGTACAGCTAAATGAAACGATAATTTCATAAAAAATATCATGAAAATACTGAAACATAAAACCAGCAGTGGAATGACTGAATTGATATCACCTGACCTGAGCTAGATAAAGGTCAATGTACGCGCGAACACAAATTCGCGCGGCCCGCAACTAGCGGGCCTTCCAACAATACCTAATAATTTACAACACGTGTCTAAATACCTAACTTATCTACTTAACCTACTATTTTGCCACTGTGCTTATCTCCACGTAGCCACTTTAATCCGAATTTACAGGTTAAATAACCCAAATAACTGGTTCGATTCCCCGCTAATGAAGAAATACTTAAATGAAATGTAACCAAGGTTGGAGTCATGCGTTTTTATTCATCGTGTAGGTATGTTTATTATTCTCGTGTATTCAGTTATGTACCTATTCAGATTAGTCTAGTACTAAGTTATTTAAAAAAAATAGTTATGAAACAGCTTACTGCTCTAAATCCTCCGTGGTCTTATGAGATGCGGCTCAAATTGTGCTCCATTCATTTCAAGGCAGACTTGGGTGCAGGCGGGGCATCATCGTGTGGTCTTCGACACAGTCCGTACGTAGTTTCTCGAAAGCATCCACGATCCTTTGGCGCATTTCTTCAGCACTATCACATTCACGATTAAAAACCCTTTCTTTCACATACCCCACAAAAAGAAGTCTAACGGAGTCAGATCTGGTGAGCGAGGTGGGCAAGCATGTGGTCCTAGTCTGCCGATCCAGCGATCATCAAATAGCTCATTGAGGCGCTCACGGACGAACCTCACGAAATGTGGAGAGGCACCATCATGTTGGAACTATGTGCGGCGATATTCAGCCAACGATAGGTCGTTTAAAATGTCAACCAACTGTTCATTTATAAAGTTTAGGTATCGCTGTCCGTTCAGTCGCTCTGGCAGAAACACTGGTCCCAGTATGCGATCCTTAAATAAACCTGTCCATACGTTAACCGACCATCGGGTTTGGTGCCCGGTTTGTCGAACAGCGTGCGGGTTAACCTCTGAATACACGTGTGTATTTCTTCGGTTCCACAGGCCGTTTCTGGTAAATGTCGACTCATCCGTCCAGATAATGTGCTCAATGGAACCAGGCACACGTTGTTGCTAATATAATAACCAACGGCAGTATAATAACCACTATAAACGTACGCGTTAGGCATTATTAAAACAAAAAAGAATCCAAAAACGTAACAAAAACTTTAATATCAACACGTAATCACAAGTAAATTTATTAAACAAAACGATTGAACTGTCGCTCGCGCACGCGTGTACAAAATCAACACGAAAGCGAAACTGTCTCAAAAACTAAAACCAACGAACCCCGTCAAGGCTGAAAATTACTGCGTCACAAGCGTGAGGCGACAGGGTTAGGCATTCTGCCGTCATAATAAAAAAGGAAGTAACTAACAAAAACGTAAAATGGAAATAAAAAATAAATTGATGAATTTTTCTTTCAGACCCTGCTGTGTCAAAAGTATATTAAAAGGTATCAATATGAAAATTGAAATACGTAGAGACATGAAGATTTTAAGGACGAACTTATTTTTTTTTAAATTTGTTTATTTATTTAAATAAAACGAATTTTCCTTTTCATCTTAGCTTAAAAAATACACCTGGCAACACAAAAACATCGAAGGAAAGAAGCATATAACTATTTGCGTCTTTCCAACCTAATAAATTAAAAAAAAAACTGCCATTCATTTAACAATTTTACATATTTTGGAAAGGTCATTTGAAGTTGAAAGGACGCTACTAGTAATTTACTCCTTTTTTTTTAATAAATATTAGAAAAGCATTGGTAGTGAGACACAAAAAATACCGTAGAGGCGGGTTACATTGACCCTAGGGCATTACTTTAGCCCAAATCGAGAAAATGATTTAACTGCCCGCTGTGTCACGAACACACAATCGAACGTCGTAGTTCCTTTAGTAACTAATAGATGGCGATATAGACGCGTACTTGCGGAACTGTTTTACCGACTCGGGTGCACGTCGCTACATGTTCGCGCTGTTTAAACTTTTGACAGTAAAACCGGCGTATTTTTCTGCTGCAAACTTTGGTGTCTGAAGCTGTATTTTGGTAAGTTTTCAAATTGGATTGTTATTTATTTTCTTAGGCATGTATGTAGGAGTATGGAAATTGTTTTTTAAAGATGATTTATTTATGTGATGGGATTTAATGACAGATTTAGAAAATCGGTATACATTGACCACCTTTTCGGGTAACTTTGGACCTGCGGGGCTAAAGTAACCCTGCAATGTTTATTAGTGGAGAACTTTACATTTTTGATCAATTTGTTACAGAATTAAAACACAGAGCGATATTCCTGATGCCATCCGTGTACAGACGAAAGCCTGGCAGTCGTCGATATGTCGACTACACCCAGGCAGATTTAAAAAAATGTCTGGATGCAATCCAATCCAAAGTGCTCACACAAAGAGCGGCTGCAGAGTTATTTAATATTCCTCGCAGCACTTTGAAAAACAAATTAACCCGGAAACACCCTAACAAACCAGGTAAACCTACAATTTTTACTGAAGAGGAAGAAAAGGCGTTTGAAGCTCACATAACTGCCCTTTGGGAATATGGGTTTCCGCTGACAGCATTCGACCTAAAAATGATAATCAAAAATTACCTTGAATCCCAGGGAAGAGTTGTAAAAATTTTTAAGAACAACATTCCTGGTAAAGACTGGTTGGCTTCTTTTCTTTCACGACATCAATCTCTTTCACGGCGACTTGCTAACAATATCAAAAGAGTCCGAGCTCAAGTGTCGGAAGATGTCATTTCCAATTTTATAGAAAACATCGACAAAGAACTAGAAAGCGTTCCACCCGAAAACATATTCAACTACGATGAAAGCAACCTTTGTGATGACCCAGGAAAAAAGACTATATTATGCAGAAGAGGAACAAAATATCCGGAAACAATAGTAAACGCTACAAAAGTTAATTTTACTGTCATGTTCTGTGGCAACGCCGCTGGGGAAACAGTTCCACCGTTCATCGTTTATAAGTCGGATCATCTCTGGTCGACTTGGACTGAAAATGGTCCCGAAGGCGCTCGATATAATAGGACAAAGAGCGGATGGATGGACAGCGCAACTTTTGAAGACTGGTTTCTCAATCATCTTATGCCAGTTCTTAAGAAGAAAAATGGTAGAAAAGTAGTGATTGGAGACAACCTTGCTTCACACATTAATAAAACAGTTTTGAACGAGTGTGAGAAGCACAATGTTAGTTTTATTTGTTTGCCACCCAACGCTACACATATACTTCAGCCACTAGACGTCGCATATTTTCGACCTTTGAAGTGCAAGTGGCGGCAAGTATTGCTTCAATGGAAGAACAGTCAACTGGGTAGGAAACTGTCGACTACACCTAAGGATCAGTTTCCACGACTATTAAAAACGGCTTTGGATTCTTTGACCGAGACCAAGGCGAATTTGATTGCTGGTTTCAGAAAGACAGGCATATACCCCATTGACAAAGAGGAGCCTTTACCTAGATTACCCAAACAAGATCGAATAATAAACGCAGGTCTTATAGGGAACTCTTTTATGCATACATTGGTGCAGTACCGAGCTGAGGCGTGCCCAGAACCGAAAACAATTAGGAAAAAGAAACTTAATGTGCCACCTGGAAAATCAATCTGTGCCACTGACCTTGCAGAAGCAGGTCCATCGGGTTTACAGCAGGCTAAAACTATAAAGGAAAAGAAAAGGGCAACAAAACGAAGACAACGTAACGTCTCTTCATCTTCAAGCTGCAGTGACAGGACCATCAGTCTAGCTTCTTCCACTGAAGACCACATAATGCCTTATGACTCTGAGGATGATGTTCTTCTGGCCAACTATGTGAGTCAGATTAGTGATACTGATGCACCTACATTTCGACATTCGCCTGATCTTCAGCAGGAGAGTGAAGTAGAAGAGGAGTGTGGCTCTCCTGTTCTTCAAGTAATAGATGTAGAGCAACAGCTGTTTGATGTTTTTAAAGACTTCACTCCCATTCAATCTATTGAGGGTATACAGATCGTTGAAGAAAAATGTAGTGAAAGAGAGAAAATGCAGGTAGTTGTTGAAGATTGTCAAGACAAAAACTTGCGGGTCTCGCCCGCACGTCAAATCAAAAAGTTACCGCAGGATACATTAGAGCCACCAGGTTTTCGAGGAGGTTCACTTGATCTAGATGTTGTTGTAGGCAACCATGTTCTAGTAACATGGAACTCACGCAAATACCCAGGTAAAGTCTTAGCAGTTTCAGAGGAAGGAGCCTTTATAACGTGCATGAAAAAAGGTAAAATGTACTGGCGGTGGCCCACGATAAAAGATGAACAACTTTATGGTTGGGACCACATATTGTGTAAGATTGGACCTCCAAAATTGGAGAAAAAGGGTTGTTTCTCGGTTCCGGAAATGAACGTGTAATAAGAACTAAGAGAGAAACTAAGAGAAGAAAATTAGATTTCCTATGCTACTGGTAAACGTTGATTCTCATTTAAATAAGACTGAAATTATAATTTAATTAGACTGAGAAGTAAAATATACGTTTGCAAATGTTACCTAATTAATCTAAGATAATATTATTGTTGTATTTCTGTAAGTTTGCTACTGAGTTGAGATATTGTTGAGGAATTTACTTACTGTAAATCTTTTTGAAATATATAATATTGATTTTACATCGTGTTTTAATTTATTTCGAACTTTTTTCTTACATTAAATCTCTCTTGGATATATTCAATCTTTCCGCCCTGGATGGTTTCTTTGGCCAATAATAGCTGCAAGTGCGATTTTTCAGCGATAAAGTTCATGGGGTTAAATTAACCCTTTCCTAAGAACAACTTTGGCCCAAACTTTAACTTAAAAAAAAGTTACTGTTAGGTATCATATTTCTAAAATACACTTCATATCTTGTTGAGTACATCCTCAAGCTTCTTTATAGCATATAAGAATACTAAAAGGACAATACCAATACAAACCACAGATCAAATTCGTAAAATAACTGAAAAAAAACAGCTAAAGTAACCCGCCTTTACGGTAATAATTTTAAAAAGTAATGATTTTAAAGGGGATATCATACAAGACTTACTACGATAATAATTAAAAATTAAAAATTTGGTACAACCGACTTTAATATAAATAATTAAGGATAACTCAAAAACTATTGGTCTGACCTCGATCAAATTTATATGGGACCACATGTGAAACACCAGCTCTTAACAATAAGATATAAGCTCTTAATAATAAGATATAGAATAATAAGACAAGACCAAGAATAATTGAAATTTAAGTAATCGATGCAAATATTGTTAAAGATGACGTAGCAACTGGTTAAATAAGTCTTTTCTTTTATGTTGAATTTGTATAAGTCTTTTCTACTAAAAAAAAGTCATCTGTGATCAACAGTTACGTCTAAAATTCTTACGATAATTTCTAAAATATTGATATTTGTGAATATTAAAAAAATTTAGTAGATGCGCCTTCTTATCATGAATCGAATGGTATATTTAACTCATTTATTCATAAATTGTTAGATGCGCCCTTTTTTCTTACGACCGCGTGTTTCGTACCGAGCTAGATACAGGTCGATAGCGGAGGGGGTGTGGGTACAATCGCGTTCTAAAGTACTACATGGTATTGGGCTATTGTTTTATAATATTATAGTAATTAATTGTTTTAATGTAGAATCATAATAGGTGTTTTACTAGCTACTTAGAACTTTGGAAGAGGTGGAAATTAAAAATGGATAATGTTTACATGAGCATTATTTGTTATTTCTATCGTAAAATATAAAGTAGTTTGTAACAAGAAAACTTTAGCTAAGGGTAACACGCCGTCCATTATGACGTCTTGGGTCACATGGAAGCCAGATGTTAATGGTGTGTTGGTGTTACTGGATGCTACTTGATCATCACTTTCATCTTCGCTTGAGCTTCCGTCATCAGGTCGATCACATGGTAATTTTTTCGGTATTCTTCCTCCACACTTTTAACTTTACTGCACAATTTTCCCCATTCACCTTCTCCTATCATATTTACCTTTTCGATCACTAGTTTAGTCATAAAACAATAGATATAAATAATTTTTCTTTCCTTCCTTTTTAAAACATCGTCGCGAGTCGCAAAGTAAGCTGTGTATGCGACTGTATTTTTGGAGCGAACAAAGCGCGGGAACCAATAGCATGCAGGCACACTAATACTGGCGGATTGTTCCCCCGTCGCGCGCCTTTCGTACCAATATGTGATAAATCGCTCAGTGCCCAAGTTCAAGGCCAGCGTTTGTTTTTCACCGTTCGCGCGTACATTAACCTCCATTAGTCAGGTGATATCAATTCAGTTTCCACTGCTGGTTTTATGTTTCAGTATTTTCATGATATTTTTTATGAAATTATCGTTTCATTTAGCTGTACTAACATGATGGCGCGTGAGTAAAGCTAATAAAACGTTGTTAAAAGATGATTTTTTTTTCATCAGGATCGACTTTATTTGTAACCCATGATCAAAGGTATACTTGGTGCTGTCGCCTGTCTTAGTTTTCGGGAGCGTTCCAAAAATACCCTGTATATACACAATACATATAAATATTTCCATGTCAGAACAAATATGAGATATATATGAAACTAAGAGCTGTGTTAGTTCAAACTCGCAACGATTTTTTCATATGCTTATGGGATTAATTTTTATAAACAAACTTATTGGGAGCTTTTTAATGTCAAGAGCGTTTTCTTAATAATCTGCTTGTGTTAGGAGTGATTCACGACAGTAGTCGAATGGTGGATTCGAACCCAGGAACTTTTAATTTCGTGGTCCGCACCCGGCCATTAGTCTACTGTCCTTTGTCGCTTTTACCGTTCAGAATTGTGAAAAGGGTGTAGAGTAATCGGCCAATTTAGATGAGTACGAAAATAAGAATCATGGTCATATAAATATCTATTATAAATACCTATTAATAAATTTATGTCACCATTTAGGTTTCAGGTAATCATTAATTGCCATTTATTGTATTAATTTTCTATTTAAAAAAAAATTTGCCATTTATTTTATAAATATTTCGATTTAAAAAAAAAGATCTCCAAGTTTTTCAGATAAAATATAACATGGAGAACTCCTGGTATTGCTCTTTATCTGTTCGTAAAATTTCATCATAATCGGTTCAACCATTCCTAATTTTATTCCGGACATAAAGACAAGTTTGAAAAAAAGCTTATTCACGTCTTAATGACACGCATGAGCTCAATAAAAGACAGTTATTTCACTACTACAAATAGACACTTAAATGTTATTTATATGATTATATACATTATACAAATAACATTTAAGCACCTATGTCCCGTATACTTACCGAGCATAGATATCAGACATCGTTATTGTCACGCATGCCTTAAGAATTTCATCATTAAAGAAAAAAATATTATAAATGACGTGCACCTTTTCGTAAAAGTATGTATAAACTAACTTCATTAAAGAGTGTAGAAATTTAGTACACATAGTGTTTCGATCAAAACAAATTTCACGTAAAATTCACTCCACAGCAGATCAGGTAACAAAAGTTAATATTGTTTCCTTGCAGCTGGCGGAGTCACCAAAGTGAATTTCCAACTTCAGGTTCGCTTCGTCTCCGTGTACCGGCGGTGAGATATGTGTAATACAATATCTATACAACACATGGTTATCAATTTACTCATATAATATTCCATCATATTACGTCTTGTAGGTTTTAGTGTATATTCGATTAAAATGAGTAAAGGCATAAATTTATCAATTTCAAAACACACAACATAACAACAACAATAACAATTTCAGCAGCTTCTTGATAAAAATCAAAAATAATTGAAGTGTAACTATCGATATACCACGAAGCACATAGCCCACCCGATTATAACTGACCTCTGTGGCTCATAGACAATGGCTAGGCAGACTATATACTAGTCAATTAATGTTCTATTTATTCAAATTAGACTGAGAAGCAACGTTGGCAGAAAAATTATATTCATGCCTATGTACTCCTAGATGAAAACGACAACTATTTACTAGTCAAAATTTGGCTAATATGTAATACTTTATATAAGGTTAAGGTGAGTTGAGTTTTCCCCCCGAACGGATTCCCGCCTTGTCGTGGCGGGCGGGCTTAGTAGCCGTGGCTTGGTCAACCGCGGTGAACAAAGAGGAACCCCTTGGCTGGCCCGAGGTGTAGGGCCGGCCCGAGGTGGCCACTCCGAGTAGGCTGACGAGCCCACTTCGGATGTGTGTTGGTGGGCTGCGGTGAGAGGGGTGTCCGCTCCCTCTTCCGCTGCAGCCGAGGTGGAGTCGCGGAGGAAGGGGAGTGCTGGTATGGCGATGCGCCCCTCGCCCTATCCTCCGCGACTCAGACGGAGCCGCACCGTTGATGCGGTGGTGGTGGGGCCGCGGGGAGAGAGGAGTGTCGGTATTGCGAGGCGCCGCTCTCCCTACCCTCCGCGGCCGAAACTTGGTAGGCGGCGGAACCCGAGACCAAATCCGCCGCTGGGGCCGGGAAAGCGGGCGCTACTAAGCGCTCGATTTTCCTGGCCCCATGGCCTCCGCGTATCGGACTCGGGGGTGTGCGCTGCGCAGGTGGAGTTGCAGGCTGTGGAGGGGGGTAGCTGAACACCTCGCTACCCGTGCAGGAGACAAGGCCCGGACAGACCGGGCCAGCACTAGTGTGGGGCTGCGGAAGAATTTGGATTCCCGCGGCCCCGCGTGCACGTGCGAGGAGACACCGTGGGGTTTTAGCCGGTAGGAGTCCGGCATAACCATCCGGTTTCCTCCAAAGCCGGAGGTATCCATGAAGATTTCCCCACGAAAAAAAAAGGTGAGTTACTTTAGGTAAAGTTAAGGTAAGGTACTAACTTACTAAGGTAAGGTACTACCTGTAGGCGGTTGTACGTGGGAATCGTGCGGTCCATGGCCCTGTATGGGGCCCCTGTGTGGGCGATGGACATGACGGCCAGCACTCTCGCCATTCTGCGTAAACCGCAGAGGGCGATGGCCGTCAGAGTCGTCCGCGGGTATCGCACGATTTCCTACGAGGCGGCTTGCGTCCTGGCCGGATCCCCGCCCTGGGACCTAGAGGCGAAAGTACTCGCGTCATTATATCGATGGCGCGAGGAAGAGCGGGCACAGGGCTCGAGGCCGGTGCAGCGGCAGATCGCGCTGCGCCGAGAGGAGCTCCGTTAGGTCTTGGTGGCGGAATGGCGGCAAAGGCTTCTGCGCCCTACCGCCGGCCTCGCTACCGTCGAGGCGATCCGGCCAGTACTCGACGACTGGCTCGGGAGAAGGCACGGCTCCCTGTCGTTTAGGGTGACGCAGGTGCTGTCGGGGCATGGCTGCTTCGGCAAGTACCTGCGCCGCATAGACAGGGAGCCGGACGCTCGGTGCCACCACTGCGTCCATTGCGGGGAGGACACGGCG